TTAACAAATGAATCTAATCCAAACTCTTATGCTTGGGTCTCTCACCTTTTCAGAATTTTGCTTACTGCTCCTCTCTTTTTCACAGGATCTTTCCCAGGCAAGAACCTCATGCTCCAGTTAACCATAAATCTTTAAAAACAAACAAACAAACAAAAAACCTCACTGCCATTGAGCTCTGACTTATAGCGACCCCCACTGGGTTTCTGAGGCTGTAAATCTTTACAGAAGTAGATGGCCCAGTCTTCCTTCCATGGAGCAGCTCATGGGTTTGAACCACTGACTTCCTGTTAGCAGTCAAGGGCCTTATCCACTACACCACCAGAGCTCCTTTCATAGATCTTTACACATGCCAATTTCATTATTTCCATACCTTTGTTCATGCATTTTTTTTCCTATTGATGTCTTACATCTCTTTTGTTCTTTACCATTAAAAGTAGTTTTTTCACTGTGTTTAAAATCTGTATTTTTCCCTAAAAATTACAGATACTTATGGGTCTCCTAATAACTTTGAGTTAACATTACATATAAATTATGAAGAATGTGCTTGGAAGAACTATTCATGTTAATGCTAGAAATAGTGGTTCCAAAAATTTGAGAAGACTTCCAGTGTCCACGACACTAGAATTTAGCATTTCCCTGTTTCTCCATTAAGCAAGATTAAGTACCTAAGTACTTATGATCAGCCTTTGGGATAATATATTTTGAGACTGTATTTTCTTAGAATTAAGGAATTAAGGCTATATGAGTGTGATAGTCTTCATATCCCTGGACAGCCAAGTTAAGAGGCAAGAAAAACTTTTAAATGTTTGTTTATTTGTTTTTATATTAAATAGTATTATATGCCTACCATATGCAGCAATGAACAATACAGGTATGATGCTTGACTTACATTTTCTGTTTTGATTCCTTATTTCTTACTTGGTATTTTGATTAACTCCTATGATATCTAGTTTCTCTTAGTTCTTCTTTGCCTACTTGACTTGCGTAACCAAAGATTTATATGATGATTGAATGAGATAACTCATACTATGTATCTGATACATAGTCAATGCTCAATAAACATCAGGTACTTTTTTTTTTTTAAATTAAGCTTTAATTCCTTTTTTTTTAAATTGTGATTTGGATGAAAGTTTACAGAACAAATTCACTTTCCACACAGCAGCTCACATATACTTTGTCTCATGACACTGGCTGCAATTTCCTACAATGCAACAGCTTCCCTCCCACTTCCTCCCCATAGTTACCTCTTCCCTGTGTCCTTCTCTCCCATGCATTCCTGCCCACACCCCAGCTGTCACCTTGTGAATACACAGCCCTTCTATTCTGCCATGATTGATCTCTCCAAGGAGTGTATCTGCCTAATGTAAATGTTCAGTTCATATACCTGTCTTTTGTTTGGCACATCAGCTATTTTTATTAGTAAAACGGTATTAATAATAATAAAAATCAAGTTTTACAGTAGAAATATGGTCAGAATTTGGGCAAATGCCTAACTGCAATTAAATTTTTAGAAAATGATAGGACTATTTTAGGTTATTTTTCCTGAGGCACAAAATCAGCTCCTTCTCTAAGAGAAGCTATTAATTCTTGTGTTGAATTATTCTTTGTTAATTGGTTTTGCAGCATTCCAGGATGCCTTGAAGATATTCTGTAGGATAAAAGATGGTCAAGTTGCAGTTGATGAAGTGATTCCTGTTTTGAATAGTATGGATGTCTTTGTAGCCCCTGAGACTGTACAGGAGGTGATAAGCTATACCTATGTTGACAGTGAGTAATTTGAATTGATATAATATATCAATCTATCTCTTTCTGGATATTAATGTTGTAATTCATTGTTTGCTTCTTTTCCCTCTTGATTCTCACCTTTTGCCGTTAGCACTGTTTACTGGTATCTGTAGTAAGAAATAAAGAAGCTTTGGTGGCACAGTGTCTAAAGCCACTGCTAACCAGAAGGTTGGTGGTTCAAATCCACCAGCCACTTGAGGAAGGAAGACAGGGCAGTCTACTTCTGTAAAGATTTACTGCCTCAGAAACCCAACAGGATTCTCTGTGAGTTGGAATCGACTCTATGGCAGTGGATTTGGTTTATGGGTATAGTTAGAAATAGTATAGAAAAATACAATGAGAAATTTCTGAAATTGTTATTTTTTGGTAATTTTGGTTAAAGTGTAAGAAAAAAAATTGATTTTTTCTTTTTTGCCTCATCTCTCTTTTCCAACTGCTACTGCTTATCTTTGTTTGTTTTAACTTGTAATTGTGATTTGTGTGAAACTTTACAGGGGAATTGTTTTCCATTCAACACATACACATTTTGTCTTGTGACATTCATTGCAATCCCCACAATGTAATAGCATTCTTCCCACTTCCTCCTTGTGGTTACTGTTTCTTCTTTCCTATCCCTTCTTGCTTTGTGAGCTTTATTCCTGGACAAATCCTGCCCTTTTGAACTCATTTGGTTGATTGTTCTAAGGAGTGCATACCTCCCTGGTGTTATTGCTCGCTTAATAGGCCTGTCTATCTTTTGGCTGAAAGTTGAGCCACAGGGATAAGTTCAGTTCCAGGCTTGAAGGAAAGCTTGTCTTTGTGATGATGTAAAGCACTTGACTGCTAACCAGAAGGCTGGCAGTTCAAATCCACCAGCCACTCCTCAGAAGGAAGATGGGGCAATCTACTTCCATAGTGATACTGCCTTGGAAACCCAAGGAAGGGTTGCTATGAGTCGGGTCCGACTTGATGGCACATAACAACAACAACAGCAACAACTTCCATGGGTGTTGATTGCGGATCCAAGTAAAATGAAATCCTTGATAACTTCACTCTTTTCTCCATTTATCATAATGCTGCTTATTGGTCCAGTTGTGAGGATTTTTGTTTTCTTTATATTGAAATGTAATCCATACTAAAGGCTGTAGTCTTTGATCTTCATCAGTGTTTCAAATCTTCACTTTCAGCAAGCAAAATTGTGTCATCTACATATCATAGATTGTTAATAGTCTAACTTCTCAGATTATTTGCTCAACATACAGATTGAATAAGTATGGTGAAAGGATACAACCCTGATACACATTTTTCCTGATTTTAAACCACGTGGTATCACCCTTATTCTGTTTGAAAAACTGCTTCTTGGTCTATGCTCAGATTCTTCATGAGCACAATTAAGTGTTCTGAAATTCTCATTCTTTTCACTGTCATTCATAATTTGTTATTATCCATATAGTCAAATGCCTTTGTATAGTCAATAAAACACAGGTAAACATTTTTCTGGTATTCTTTGCTTTCAGTCAAGATCCATCTGACATCAGCAATGATATTCCTCATTTCACATCCTCTTCTGACTCTGCTTTGAATTTGTTGGCAGTTCCCTGTCTATTTACTGCTGCACTTATAAATTATTTTAAGCAAAATTTTACTTGTGTGTGAAATTAATGGTGTTGTTTGGTTTCCACATTCTGTTGGATCATCTTTCTTTGGAGTGGGCACAAATATGGATCTCTTCCAGTTGGTTGGCCAGGTAGCTGTCTTCCATATATCTTGGCATAGATGAGTGAGCACTTCCAGTATTGCACCCATTTGTTGAAATGTCTCAGTGGGTATCCCATCAATTCCTAGTGCCTTGTTTTTCACCAATTCCTCCAGTGCAGCTTAGACTTCTTCCTTCAAAACCATCAGTTCTTGATCATATGCTACCTCCTGAAATGGTTGAACATTGATCAGTTCTTTTTGGTACAATGTCTCCATCATCTTTTGATGCTTCTTGCATCATTTGGTATTCTGCCCATCTCACTCTACTCACTGCTGTCGAGTCGGATCCAACTCATAATAATCCCTGCTTGGGTTTCCTAGGCAGTATCAGTATGAAAGTAGATTGCCCAACCTTCCTTCTGAGGAGTGGCTGGTGGGTGTGAACCGCTGGCCTTCTGGTTAGCAGTCACATGCCTTAGGCACTATGCCATCAGATATTGCAACTTGAGGCTTGAACTTTTTCTTCCATTTTTTCAGCTTGAGAAATGCTTAGTGTGTTCTTTCCTTTTGATTTTCTAACTCTAGGTCTTTGCATTTCATTATAATACTTTACTTTGTCTTCTCAAGCTGCCCTTTGAACTTGTCTGTTCAGTTCATCATTCTTCCATTTGCTTTAGCTACTTTCCATTCAAGAGCAAATTTCATAGTCTCTTCTGACATCCATTTTTGTCCATTCTTTCTTTCCTGTCTTTTCAGTGACCTTTTGATCTCTTCATGTGTGGTGTGTTTGATGTCATTCTACAACTTGTCTGGTCTTCGGTCATTCGTCTTCAGTGTGCCAAATCTGTTTCTCAGATGGTCTCTAAATTCGGATGGGATATACTTAAGGTCATATTTTGGCTCTCATGAACTTGTTTCAGTTTTCTTCAGCTTCAACTTGAGCTTGCATATGATGGTCTATTCCACAGTTGGCCGCTGGCCTTGTTGTGACTGATGATGTTGTTGAGCTTCTCCATCATCACTGTTCACAGATGTAGTTGATCTGATTCCTATGTATTCCATCTGGCAAGGTCTTTGTGTATAGTCACCATTTATGTTGTTGGAAAAGGTATTTGCAACGTATAAGTCATTGGTTTGCCAAATTCTGTCATGCAATCTCTGGAGTAATTTCTGTCACCAAGGCATATTTTCCATCTGTTGATGCTTCTTTGTTTCCAGCTTTTGAATTCCAATCACCAGTAATTATCAATGCATCTTGATTGCATGTTTGGTCAATTTCAAACTTCAAAAGTTGGTAAAAATCTTCAATTTATTCATCTTTAGCTTCACTGGTTGGTGTATAAATTTGAATAATAGTAGTATTAATTGGTCTTCCTTGTAGGCTTATGGATATGATTGTATTGTACTTCAGGATAGATCTTGAAATGTTCTTTTTAACATTGACTGTAACACCATTCCTCTTTGATTTGCCATTCCTTTCTTAGTAAACCATATGATTGTCTGATTCGAAGTGGCAAATACCAGTCCATTTCAGCTCACTAATCCCTAGGATATTGATCTTTATGTATTCTATTTCATTTTTGACAACTTCCAGCTTTCCTAGATTCATACTTTATACATTCCACATTCCCATTATTAATGGATGCTTGCTGTCATTCTCATTTTGAGTCATGCCTCATCAGCATATCCTCAAGGTCCACTCAGTTTGAGGAGTCATATTTTGAGTGCAGTCCAGCCTGAAGGACTCATCTTCTGGTACTATATCAGACAGCTACTCATAAGATTTTCAGTGGCCATTTTTTCAGAAGCAGGCCACCACCTCCTTCTTCCCACTGTATCTTCATCTAGAAGCTTCACTGAAACCTGTCCACCATGAGTGATCCTGTTGGTATTTGCAATACGAATGGTATAACTTATAGCTTCATAGCAACCCACAAGCCATCACAGCATGATAAACTGATGGATGAGTGATAGAGTGATTATATTATAACAATATATTGTGCTTTTAGTACATATTAGAGGTACCAGGGAAGGATTATCAGAGGAGGTGATGTTGAACTAAATCTTCAAGGATCAGTAGGGGTTAAGTTATTGAAGATGATGGTGAAGTGTGAGGGAACAGTTTAAGTAAGTGTGACAGGAAAATAACCAGACATGGCATCTTTTCCAGTGGCCTCCCACTTTTTTTTTTTGTCATCTGTTAGTGTTGGCTTTGTATTAGTGGGTCTTTGCTTGTTGAAACATAGTCAGCAGATAGAACCAGGCTACATGGAATTCTACTGCCTAATCAGTAATGGTAGTAGAATGTGGGGTGGTAAACATGAGCAGGTATACTGGGGCATGGAGAACTCTATAAAATACAGATTTTAAAGACTAATCCCAAACCACACTATTAAATAGTTCTTAGGGCATTCTCTACTAGGAGCAACAGAAATCTTACATAAAACCACTGAAATCTTGCTTTTTGCTTTATGGAATTCTTATCTGAGTCCCCAGGTCTCCTACTTTATTTATAGAGATTTATTGTAGGATTGTTGTAGGGGTTAAATACAAGCATCTAGAACAGTATTTGGCACATATGAGGCAGAAATATGAGGCAGAAACCCAAGTCATCCTTGACAACTTTTTTCCTGTTCTCCTTGTGCAGTGATTGTGAAGTCATATTATTTTGAACTCCTAGTTATCTCTTTGGGAGCTCTGGTAGCATAGTGGCTAAGACACTTGACTGCTAACCAGAAGCCTGGCAGTTCAAACCCACCAGCCACTCCTCGGAAGGAAGATGGGGCAATCTACTTCCGTAATGATACTGCCTTGGAAACCCAAGGAGGGGTTGCTATGAGTCGGGGCCGACTTGACGGCATAAAACAACAACAATAACAAGTTATCTCTTCAGCCTATTTCTCTGTATAGCCTCCATTACTACCATAGTCCAAGTTACTATAAATATTTCTTTAGGACCATGCAGTTCATCCTAGCTGATCTACCATATCCACTTTCATCCCTCTACACTGTAGTCAGATCTTTTCACAGCATAGATCTGATTTTGTTACCATCCTTGCATTAAACTTAATAGCTCTTGGGATAAAGAAGTACTTTATATGGTTCAGCCATACCTTCAACATCATCTCAGACCACATTTTCTTTTGTTTTCTGTGTTGTGTTAGAGTTTCAACTATATACTATGTCCGCTCTCACCATATCATCGTTGCATATGTTCTTTTCTCTTCCTGGAACATTCCTTTCCTTCTAATTAACTCCTGTTTAGACTTTAGCTCTGAAATCAGCTGTCTATTCTTCAGGGATGCTTTCCTGACTAGGTTAAATATCCCTGTTACATGCTCTTATAGTGCTAATCACAATAGTACTTTGTATTTTTGATTAAGATCTGTATCTGAAATAAAACTGAACACCAGGAGAGCAGATATCTTACCTGTTTTTGCTCAATACTATATCCTCAGTGCCTACCACAGTGCTTATGTCATTTATTAACTACTCAGTAAATATTTCTTGAATGAATTAATAATTCTCACCCTTAACCCATCCCTACCTCCTCTAATTAGGGAAAACAGGGTATTCTTCATTTTGTTATATTAGTAAGTGGGCTGCAATTAGAGACAAAATTCCTCATAAAGAAGGTCCTTATCTTTGACTAGGAAAATCATCTTTATAGGTATGTTTAATTATTGGAGTCAACATTTACGGGGAAAAGCCTAGATTAAACAAAAAAGGTAAGGTTACTTGCAATACATAAGAAAGTAACAGGAATTTGGAGTACACAGGGGCTCACTGGCAGCTGGAAGAAGAGGATTTTTGAGGGAACCAAAGAATGAGGGGGGCCTGGTAGTTGGTAGAGAATAGCCATGGTTTTCCAGTTGTCTCATATGCATGCGAAAGCTGGAAAATAAAAAAGGAAGGCAAAGTAAGAATTGAGTCATTTGAATTGTGATGTTGGTGAAGAATACTGAATATTCTGGACTGTCAGAAGAACCAAGAAATCAGTCTTAGAAGAATACAAACAGAATGCTGAGGAGTAGAGATGGTGAAACTTTGTCTTGCTTACTTTGAATGTGTCATCAGGGAAGACCAATCTCTAGAAAAGGACATAATGTTTGATAAAGCAGAGGACCAACGAAAATAAGGGAAATCCTTAAAGAGGTGGGATGACACAATATCTGCAATAGACCCAAACATGGCAATGATCATGACGGTGGCATGACGGTGGCATGGGACCTGGTGCCATACATAAGGTCACCATGAATTGGAGCTGAATTGAGGGCAACTACTAACTACAATAACAACCATAGAATTTTAGGACAATCATATTTAGTTGTTTGTTGTGCTGTTAAGAGTGCTTGCTCCCATTAACTGCAATTTATCAGTAATAGTTGGTTATATCAACAAGTTTGTTGTAGAATGGGTAGAAGCAAGGAATAAGTTTTGAGCAAGAGCTAGTCAGTCTGTGGAAATGGTTGGCTACCTCATTCTCATTAGTTTATTTTGGACCTCTGTGCCCAGGAGAGAGTCTTCCAAGTGAAGGACAGGTAAAACACTATGGCTTTCCCCACTGTCTTCCCAGCATGTATTTATGATCCTACAGAATACATTTAAGCACTCAAATTCAAGAGCTTGAATGCTGAATCCTTGAGTGATCTTTGGACTTAATCTTTTATCTTAAGAACTTCAGATATGCAATCAGTCTACTGTGAGTGCCAAGAATTCATTGGAGAAAACTTTGAGATATGTTAGAAACATAATCAAGAACAAAATGTGGATAAATACCAAGGAAATAGGAAACCAGACTGTAGGAAGCAGTTCCTAATTAAAATACAACCTAGCACCAATTTGGTCTAGCAATTCTTTTGGTCAAATACATGCTTGTTTTGGAGTGATTTAAAGGTTGGACACCTGACATAGGTTACCAGTTTTCAAGGAAGCAGAGTGAATCAAACTTATACTGTATATAATTTAATCCTTCTTTAACTCAGAAGGTACTTTAAAATTTGCATCTTTCTTAGAGTCCTTATGTATAGGAGCTCTGGTGACATAGCAGTTAAAGCATTTGACTGCTAACCAAAAGGTCAGCAATTTGAACCCACCAGTTGCTCCATGGGAGAAAGATGAGGCAGTCTACTTTCATAAAGATTTACAGCCTTGGAAACACTATGGAGCAGTCCTACTCTGTCCTACAGGGTCACTATGAGTTGGAATTGACTCAGTGGCAGTGTTTATTTGTTTAAATTTATGCCTAGTATTGAACAGATGATTTCTTATGAATAGAGTGAAGAATAAACCCAGTCTTATGTAGATAGATATGTCAACTTCCAGTCTTTTTAACCTTGTATGGCAAACAAAGCCAAACACTTGGAGGCAAGAGCTATTAGAAAAACCTTTTTCTGACATTGTTCAAGGTTACTGCATCCAAACCCATCCTCATTTATGCATGAACTGAGAAAAAGAATGGTTTCAGATAGGGGTATGGACAGGAATGGTAGGAAGTTATAATTGTTAGAGTGCCAGGTACATAGGTGATAAGTCAGTGGTTATCTGCGATTCACAATGTAGATGTTATGCTATTCTTTATGGCCTTCAGTAGTTTATTTTATTCATTCAAAAATTTTTAAATGGTAAGAAGTAGATATTTTTCTAGGCATTGAAGATCCAGAAAGGAAAGACATCTTTTTTTCTTGAGGAGATCACAATCTAGCGAGGAAGATAAAGGAGTAGTTAATTTAAATATTGTGGGAGAAAGACTGTGTCTGTAATTTTGTTAATTGAATAAAACATTATCCTATTTAGCTTAGGGGTTTAAAATGAAACTAATTTCTTTTGATGGGAAACTTTTTATTAAAGAGAAAAAAATACGGTCTTAGTCCTGTGTTTCAGTGTGTAAAGAATTATTAATTCACAACTCCAGATATCATTGAAGATCCATGAAAGCGGGGCCTCTGTTCCTATTTCCACACATTTCTGGCTGTCTTTGTATCAGTACAGGATGAATACAGTATTTGAACTTTTACTTTCTATTATAGGTAAGAACATGGTGGATATTGGAAATATTATATTTATTTTGGAAGAACTACAACAACAGTATGAGGATGTTTGTAAGTGAGCTCTTCTTGCTATAGCAAGTTTTATTTATAAATAAATTGGCTTTAAATTTGATTTTTTAGGTTTTCTGGGTTTGAGAACTTTCTCTAAAGTCTTTACCTTAATTCTTACATCAGAGAGATAACAATTAAATGTAAATACCTGAAATATGCCTAATTAATATTGATTATATACAGTGAAGGAGCCAATGTAACACAAAGTATAAGCACTTGGCCAATAACCAAAGGGTCTGCAGTTCAAACCCCCAGCTGCTCCACAGGAAGAAGATGAGGCAGTCTGCTTCCGTAAAAATTTACTGCCGTGGAAACCCTATGGGGCAGTTTTATGGTGTCCTATAGGTTGCTATGAGTTGAAATCGACTTGATGGCAATATGATGAGTATCTTATTACCAGTTTATCTTTCTCTTAATATAAAATAATATAATATAAAAAGATAATATTTAATTTTGAATTTGTTTGTCATTCTGATATCCTGACATTGACTCTAAAAACTTTCAGTATGTTCTTAGCTATCATTTGTTTAGTTTTTCAACATTAGTGCATTGTTTTATTTGTTCTTATTGCACATCATGGTGCTCCTTACTATTTCTTTGATTTGTGCCTATGCCATTTGCTCAAAATTATCCACGAACACAATTTTAAGAATTATTTGGTTCTGTGAAGCTTATTAAATACCAACCTCTCCCCATCTTCAAGTCACCCTCTTGCTTGACTTTTAGCTTCTTTGTTGTTGTTGTTGTTATGTGCCGTCGAGTCAGCCCTGACTCATAGTGACTACTCCTTGGGAGGCCAGTATTTAAAATGCTTTAGTTGATTCCTTGATATTTATCTTCATAACTCTAAATAACATGTTTATATTGTTTATTTTTTAAATAATTTATTTTATTTTCATTTTTTTGTCGTTGAGAATGTATACAACAGAACATATACCAATTCAGTAATTTGTACATGTACAATTCAGTGACATTGATTACGTTCTTTGAGTTGGGCAACCATTCTCATGCTCATTTTCTGAACTGTTCCTCCCCCATTAACATAAACTCACTGTCTCCTAAGTTTCCTATCTAATCTTTCAGGTTACTGATGTCACTCTGATCCCTATGTTGTTGTTGTTGTTGTTATTATGTACTGTCGAGTCAGACCTGACTCATAGAGACCCCTCCTTGAGTTTTCGAGATGGTATCACTATGGAAGTAGATTGCCCAACCTTCCTTCTGAGGAGTAGCTGGTCGGTCTGAACCACTAGCCTTCTGGTTAGCAGTCAAGTGCCTTAGGCACTATGCTACCAGAGCTCCTCTGATTCCCTATAGGTAGATCTTAAAAGAGCATAATGCTGAAGGCAGACATTCTTTATTAGTTAAACTTCACTATTGTTTGGTTTTAAGAAGGCTATAGGGGATGTTTTTGTTTATAGTTTAAAGATTATCTCAGGGCAGGTTTTGGGGATTCAGCTAGCCTCCATGATTCCAGAAAATCTGGATTCCATGAGAATTTGAAATTCTGTTCTGAATTTTATATTGCTATTTCCAAAATTTGGGTAAACACAGTGTCTAATTCATACTCTTGTAGCATAGTGCCTAAGGCACTTGACTGCTAACCAGAAGGCTGGCAGTTCAAACCCACCAGCCACTCCTCGGAAGGAAGATGGGTCAATCTACTTCCATAGTGATACTGCCTGGGAAACCCAAGGAGGGGTTGCTATGAGTCGGGGTCAATTCGACGGCACATTACAACAACAACAACAACAACAACAATTCATACTATGAAAAATAAGGATTAAGTTCTGTTTGTTTTTCCCTGTCACTAGCACACCCACTTAATTTTCATATACCTCCTAGTATAGTTACGTGGTAATTTGAGTAGTTTTTATTCAGTATTTATATTAATATGTCTATCTAAACCCTATTCCTAGCTGAACCATTTAGTATCAATGGTTACTTTCTTTTTGTGTGCAACCCCCCCACACACACTTTAAGTTAATAATTGTTTATTTATTTGCTTGATTTTCAAAAGTATTTTTATCACTAATCCAAGCCCAAAATCTACCAACCCCAAACTCTGTCTAAATATTTTCTCCATAAGTCTGGATGCACCAGGTATTTTATCACTTTTGTCTTCGTGCGGAAATCTCCCTTAGATACTTCTAATAGTCTCTCATATGTATTTGTTGTCCGCGTATCGTGTGTGCAGCTATCATTCTGTGAGCTCCCTTCATAAGCATTCTGGAGACTTCTTTCATTTCTCTCCTCCTGTATCAAAGTCCCAGTTTCCTTTGCCCTGTATCTCTCTCTCTCTCTCTCTCTTTAATTTCCTTATTTTGGTGTAGAACACAGATTTAGGAGCTTATTGAGAAAAGGTTTCTGACAAACAATTTTTGAAACATTGAACATTTTGACATATTCTTTTACTTGAATCATGGTTTGGCTGGGTGTAGAATTCTAGATTGGAAATAATTTTCTCTCAGAATTTTGAATTTTCTAACCTTTAATGTTGTTATTGAAATCCAGAGCTATCCTGGTTTCTGACTCTGATTTTTCTCTTTGGAAGCTTATAGAATATTTTGTTTGTATCTAATGTTTCAAAATTTCATGATGATATACCTTGATACATGCTTTTTTTTTTTTTGGCAACTTTTGGCTTGGGTACAGTGCCCATCAGTTCTTTGAAATTAAAAAAAAATTGATGATTTCTTTCCTCTATTTTCTCTGTTCTCTCTCTTTTCCATTGTGGTAAATGTATGGAAACAAAACACTTGACATTTCAACAGTTTTCACATGTACAATAGTAAATTGACATTAAATATGTTGCTCATCATGTTGTTGAGCCATCACCATTCTTGAATTATTCTTTTACCCTTAACAGAAGCTCAGTGTCTAACTCTTATTATTTGGATATTTGATGTCCTGGACTGGTTCTGTATTTTTTATTTTAATTTAATTTTTATTATGATTTGGGTGAAAGTTTGCAGAACAAATTCATTTTCCACACAGCAGTTCATACACATTTTGTTTCATGACATTGACTGCAATTCCCCACAGTGTAACAGCCCTCTTCCCACTTCCTCCCCATAGTTACCTCTTCCCTGTGTCCTTCCCTCCTATGCACTCCTACTCCCTGACCTATCTCCGTGTGTAAACACTGCCCTCTGTTCTCCCATGATCCATTGCCCTAAGGAGTGTATCTACCTGATATAAATGTTCACCTCATATGCTTGTCTGTTGTTTGGCTGGAAGCCATAGGAGTGAGTTCAGTTCCAGACCTGAAGGGTAACTAGGGGCCATAGTCTCAGGGGTCTTACTAGGCACTAGTAAGTGTTTTTTTAAATTTTGAGTTTTGTTCCACATTGTTTTCCCATTCAATTTGGGATCTCCTGCACCATTCCCCCTCTAAGTGGTTGACAGTGGTAGCTGGGCACCATCTAGTTCTTCTGGTCTCATAGTCATATAGGCTGAGGAATGCATGGTCTACTAGTCCCTTGGACTAATTGTTTCCATGTGTCTTTGATTTTCTTCATTCTTCTTTGCTCTGGATGAAGAGAGATCCATTGTTGCATATAGATGACTGCTTGCAAGCTTTTAAGACCCCAGTTGCTACTCATCAAAGTAGGATGTAGAACAATATTTTTGTGTAGTATGTTATGCCAGTTGGGCTTGATGTCCCCTTCAACCTTGGTCCTGAGCCCACAGATCCAACTACTAACTCCCTCAGGGTAGCTGGCTGTGGTCAGGAAGCAACCACAACCTTGCTTCTTGTCAGCTCTACTATACATTCAGACATTTGTATAGCACATACAAATACATATGAAGAATGGTTCTGTACTTTTTTAAATAATAATTTTTCTTACTGCTTTCTAACACGTGTCTTTTTGTTTTGCTTTCTGGGAGATTTTCTTACCTTTATCTTCCAACTTTTTATTTAGCCTTTCTTTTGTTCAACTTTTTTAATTTTAAAAAATTTTGTTCATGGACATTCCTTTTCTTGATTTATGTATGTAATTGATATTTCTAAAACACTGAAGATACTGATAATGCTTTTAAAATTTCTCTTTTCATTTGTACTTGGTTTCTTCAAAGTTGCTTTTCTCTGTTTTTCATTTTAGAGGCATTTCTCATGTCTAGTGATGCTTGCTTATCTGTTCATATTTGAGGATGGTGAACTAAAAAGTTGTTTGGAAGCTTTGAGACTGAGGGTAAAACTAACAGGTTATGGGCTCACTATAGTAGTGCAGTGATTCTATAGTAGGGCAGTCTTCCTGCCCACTTAGCCCTCCAAGGACATTTGACAGTGTCTGGAGACTTTTTTTTTTTTAATGGAGTTATTGTTGATTGTTACAACCTGAGTGGTGTTGTAGTTGTCAGGTGAGTAGAGGCCAAGGATGCTGCTAAACCTCCTACATTGTATAGGTCTGCCCCCTACAAATAATTATCTGGTCAAAATGTCAGTTAATGCTGAGGTTGAAAAGCACTGCTGTTTGTTTTCTTCCATCCCCCCTCCCCCCAAAAAAAACCTTTTTATTGTGATTTGGGTAAAAGTTTACACAGCAAATTGATTTACCATTCAACAGTTCCTGCACATTTTGTTTCATGACATTGAATGCAATCCCCACAATGTAACAGCTCTCTTCCAATTTCCTCCCTATGGTTACCTTTTCACTGTGTCCTTCTTTCCTATGCCTTCTGAGCTTTCTCCCTGCTCAAATGCTGTCCTTCTGACTCCCATGGTTGATTTTTCTAAGAAGTGTACCTCCTTGGTATGATTGTTCACCTCTAAGCCTGTTTATTGTTTGCCTGAAAGTTAAGCAGTTGAGTTAAATTCCAGGCCTAAAGGCTGACTAGGGGGCCATAGTCTTGGGGGTTTCACCAGTCCCTATCAGACAAGTAAGCCTGGTCTTTTTTATGATTTTGAGTTTTATTCCACATTTTTCTCCCCCTCTATACATAATCTCCAATTTTGATCCTTTTCTAAGAGGTTGGCAGTGGTAGCTGGGCACCATTTAGTTCTTCTGGCCTCCGGGTCATATAGGTCATATAGTTCTTATGGTCCACTAGGCCCTTGAACTAATTGTTTTCACGTGTCTTTGATTTTCTTCACTCTTCTTTGCTCTGGATGAGGAGAGACGAATTGTTGCATCTTAGGTGGCCACTTGCAAGCTTTTAAGACCTAGTCTTTACTCACCAAGTAGGATGTAGAACAGTGTTTTGTGTTGCATGGTATGCCAGTTAAGTTTGATGTCCCTGCAACTGTGATCCCAAGCTTGCAGTCCCAGTGACGAACTCCCTCAAGGTGTTTGCTTGTGGCTAAGAAGTTATCATAGCTTTGCCTCATGGTTGCTTTATTCTATGTTTAGATATTTTTTATAGCACATACAAAAAGGCATATAGAAATATTGTCTGATAAACTTAAATATGGTCATGGGTATATACCCATTCACCTAGCCATACCTGATCATCTTGCCTGTCTACTTATGTATCCACCCATAGATTGTTTATTACCACTGATAACACAGTGCTGTGTGTATAATAGTATTTACCTTTGAGATCTATACCTGCTGTGTACCTGTCCATATCTTCCTTTTCCTTAGTGATATTGGGCTGGTCACTAGCTTTTGGTATATTGCCTTTCTGTTCATTGAAATCAATACATGCCTCTTACCTAGCTAGCAATTTCTTCTCCCCTCCCCTCCTATTTCTGGTAAACAACAAAGAAAGTTTGCTTGACGTATAATAGTGGACTTACACAATATTTGTCCTTCTGTGATTGACTTACTTCATTCAGCATAATATCCTCCAAGTTCATCCACATTATGAGGTGATTCCAAGATTCTTCATTGTTATTTTATGTTGTATAGTATTCCATTGTATGTCTGTATCATAGTATGGTTATCCATTCATCCATTGATGGACACTTAAGTTTTGTTTCCATGTCTTTGCTTATTGTGAATAGTGCTGCGATGAACATTGGTGTACATATATCTATTCACTTCTTTAGGATATGCCCAGTAGTGGGATTGCTAGATCAAATGGTATTTCTATTTCTATTTCCAACTTTTTAAGGAAGTGTCGTATTGTTTTCCACAGTGGTTGTACCATTTTACAGTCTCACCAGCAGTGTATGAGAATTCCAGTTTCTCTGCACCCTTACCAGTGTTTGTTGATTTTTGTTTTGTTGAACTTTGCTGTTGTTGCTGGGGTGGATGATATCTCATTGTTGTTTTGATTTGCATCTCTCTAATGGCTAGTGATTGTGAGCATTTTTTCATGTTTGTTAGCCACCCAAATGTCTTCTTTGGTGAAGTGTCTATTCATGTCTTCTGCCCATTTTTAAATTGGATTGTTTGTTTTTCTGATGTTGAGGTGTTGGAGTTTTCTATTAATTTTGGAGTTGAATCCGTTGTTGGATATGTTGTTGTCACATATTTTTCCCAATCTGTCAGTTATCTTTTTAGTCTTTTGGAGAATTCTTTTGATGCACATAAGAATCTAAATTTTAGGAAGTCCCAGTCATTAGTTTATCTTCTGCTGTTTGTGCATTTTCGGTATATTGGGTAGTGTATTTATGGCATAAATTGAGGAGCTTTGATAGCATAGTGTCTAAAGCATTTGACTGCTAACCAGAAGACTGGCAGTTCAAACCCACCAGCTGCTCTGCAGAAGGAAGATGAGGCAATCTACTTCCGTAAAGATATACTGCATTGGAATTGACTCAATGGCAGTGGGTAAGTATGCCCCTATTTTTTCTTTAATGAGCTTCATAGGTTCATAGGTTTTATATTTAGGTCTTTGATCCATTTTGAGTTAGTTTTTTTATATAGTGTGAGGTATGGATCTCGTTTCATTTTTCTGCAAATGGATATCCAATTTTGCCAACACCATTGGTTAACGAGACTGTCTCTTCCTCATTTAATGGATTTTGGCTCTTGGTGAAAGATCAGCTGTCTAAAGGTAGATGGATCTATTTCTGGATTCTCAATTCTGTTCCGCTGGTTTATGTGTCTGTCCTTGTACCGATATCAGGCTGTTTTGACTAGAGAGACTGTATAGTAGATTTTGAGATCAGGGAGTGTGAGACCTTCCACTTTGTTCTTTTTCAGTCGTGCTTTGCTTATCTGAGTTTTCTTTCCTTTACATATAAAATCAGTGATTGGCTTTTCCATCTCCTTAAAGAATGTTGATGGAATTTGGGTCAGGATTGCATTGAATCTGTAGATTGCTTTGGGTCCTGTTGACACTTTCACAATGTTCAGTCTTCCTATCTATCCACTGAGTATGGTATATTCTTCCATTTATGTAGGTTCTTGTAGTAATGTTTTATAGTTTTCTTTGTATAGATCTTTTGTGTCCCTTGTAAGGTTTATTTCTAAGTATTTTATCTTTTTAGTAGTTATTATAAATGGTATTGTTTTCCTTATTTCCTTTTTAGAAATCTGTTTGTTAGTATAGAGGAATCCAACTGATTTTTGTATTTTGATCCTGTGTTCTGCCAATTTTTTTTCTTGCTAAGTCTCTTGGTCTTTCTATGCATCGGATTATATCATCTGCAATAGAGATAGTTTTACTTCTGTGCCATTTTGGATGCCTTTTATTTCTCTTTCTTGCCTTACTGCCCTGTCTAGGACATCGAATACAATGTTGAGTAGAGGTGGTGATAGAGGGCATCCTTGTCTAATTCCCGTTCACAAGGGGAATGCTTTCAATTTTTCTACATTGAGAATAATGTTGGCTGTTGGTTTTCTATATATGCCCATTTTTAAGTTGAGGAATTTCCCTTCTATCTCTATTCTGCTGAGTTTTTATCAGAATGAGTGCTAGATTTTTATCAAATGCTATTTCTGCATCTATTGATAAGATCATGCATTCTTTTCCCTTGCTTAATTTATGTGTTAGGAGCTCTGGTAGCATAGTGCCTAAGACACTTGACTGCTAACCAGAAGGCTGGCAGTTCAAACCTACCAGCCACTCTTTGGAAGGAAGGTTGAGCAATCTACTTCTGTAGTGATACTGTCATGGAAACTCAAGGAGGGGTTGCTATGAGTTGGGTTGGACTCGATGGCACATAACAATAACAACAACAACAACAATTTATGTTTTAGATTATGTTGATTGTTCTTCTAATGTTGAACCAACCTTGCATACCTGGTGTGAATCACACTTGGTCATGGGGTATTATTTTTTTAATATAGCATTAGATTCTGTTGGCTAATTTTGTTGAAGATTTTTATGTCTATATTCATGAGGGATGTTGGTCTGTAATTTTCCTTTTTAATAGTCTCTTTGCCTAGTTTTAGTATCAGGGTTATGCTTGCTTCATAAAATGCATTTGGTAGTATTCCATCCTTTTCTGTGTTCTGGAATAGTTTGAGTAGGACTGGTATCAGATCATCTCTGAATGTTTTGTAGAATTCTCCAGTGAAGCTGTCTGGGCTAGTACTTTTTTGTTGTTGTTTGTAGTTTTTTTTTTTTTGTTTTTTAAATCACTTATTCAAGTTCTTCTTTTGTTATGAGTCTGTTCAAATTTTCTACCTCTGTCTGTGTTAGTTTAGGTAAGTAGTGTCTTTCTACAAATCTTTTTCCTTCTTTAAATGATTACTGTCTTGTGCTTCATATTGTACAGTGTCTGAAAATTGTTATTTTTCATATATTTTACCCTCCAGTAATTGGAGGGTAAATCTAGTCCCTATCACTGTATCTTGGCATAAATCACAAGTGTTTAAAGTGGAAATATTTAAATATATTAAATCAGCAGATCATATTTAACCTAGTTAAATAGCTCAATCTTGTGGTCATCTGCTCTGTCTAGTCAATAACTGTTTTATGTGTTTAAGCAACTGATAATTTCTTGAATAGCTCTTTTGAGGATTTGTTTTTTCAGAAAAATATTACAAGTTGTGCAGGTAAATGACATAATTGACTCTGTTTCCCTTACCTAGCAATTACAGAAGGACCAGACCTGGATGAAACTACTTCAAATCAAAAGCTGTCTAAGCCATCTCAACATTCTCTCCAATTTAAGAATATAGACAGTTTATCTTCTAGACTTCCTGAAACACCAGTAACCCAAAAGTTCAGTAGAAGAAGTCTCCAATATCATAGCAAAATTATGGAGAATAATGATAACCTTGAATTTAAAAGTTCAAAATATCCTTGGGAAATGAAAAGAATCCCAGATGGAGTTGATAACAGTGACGGAGGATCTCAGGAACCATATTCAAAGAATGGCATAAACTTAAAAAAACCTTCAGACAAGGCTGAAATTAATGACTTAAAGTCTAAACCACAAAGTTTGAAGAGTATTTCAAGTTTCAAAAAGTCTCTGGATAAAAGTAATATTTCAAGTATTCCAAAATTAAAGCAGCCAGCTGTAAGAAGGCGTTCCAGCCTACTAAAGCAGATTTCATCAAAGGAAAAAACTGCAATTGATACTCAGGGTCAGTATCATATATGCAAGTCAGAATTTAGGTCACTGAGTTCTTTCTTTCTTTCTTAATAATCTTTCATTGTGATTTAGGTGAAAGTTTACAGAGTAAATTGGTTTTCCATTAAACAATTCATACATATCCTGCTTTGTGACATTGATTGCATCTCCCACAATGTAACAGCACTCTTCTCACTTCCTTTCTGTGTTTAGCATTTCCATTTGTCCTTCTTTCCTATATATTCCTACCTTCTGAGCTTTATCCTGGTCAAATGCTGCTCTTTTGATCTCATATGGTTGATTGTTCTAAGGAGTGCATACTTCCCTGGTGTTATTGTTCACCATATAGGCTTGTCTATTGATTGACTGAAAGGTGAGCCATTTAATTCCAGGCTTGAAGGATAGCTAAGGGCTATAGTCTCAGGGATTCTCCATTTTCTGTCACACCAGTAAGCCCCCCCCCTTTTTTTTTTTTTTGAGTTTTGTTCCATATTTTTCTCCCACTGTATCCAGGACCTCCTATTGTAGTCCTTTTCAGAGCAGGCAACAGCAGTAGCCAGACACCATCTAGTTCTTCTGGTCTCATGCTCTTGAAGCTGGGGTCCCTGTGGTCCATTAGTCTTTTTGACTAATTGTTTCCCTGCATTTTTGACTTATTTTCTTCTGTTTTCTTTGCTCCAGATGGGGGGAGACTGAAGCTTTTAAGACCCCAGTTTCTACTCACCAACGTAGAATGTAGAACATTATCTTTGTGGACTATGTTATATTAATAGTAGGTCATTGAGTTCTTGAATGATCACAGAAGTGAGTAGAATGAATCTGTTATTAGGTAGTTTTAAGTATTTCATTTCTCAATAGTTGGTGTAACCACCACCTATGGTACATTGGCCAATGTATGCAATACTATGGTTTTAATGATAGTTTCTTTCTAGTTGCCCTAGCTTTGCATGGTGCCAAAGGGACAGGAAGCTGTACCTTCTTACCTCCTCTAATCCCACAAGATGAAGACAGAATTACCATCAGTAGCCCAAGGTCTATCCCTGTGAGGCCAGACATGCCACCTCTCTCCAGCCCTTTCACCAACCCTGACACCAACCATTCTTCCTGCTGACCCACAACTTCTCTGCTGAGTTTGATAATTTGCTGCAGTGGCCACACAGCACTCACAGATTATGGGGTTTATTAGGGAAGCACCAGGCTGCCATTCAAGTTCAGGAACAACGCTCAGTCTCTCTCAGCCCACCGTATCTCAGCCAACAGTCTCTCTCCTAGCATTGTGTGTCTTTCAGTGTTTCCCTCTCAGCAGCATGTATCTCTCAGGAGTGTCTTTCTCTCAGCAGCACGTCTTTCTCAGCCATCAGTCATGGAGACTTCTTCTGCCTCTAGAAGAGCTCCTTTTGAGCCTGGCAGAATGACCACTAACCAATCCCAGCATCAGAATTCTATACACCTGAGAGAGAGAGTGAACTTCCCAGAAAATTACTTTGTGCTGCTCCCAACAAAAATACCCCAGTTGGATAACTTTAACAATCAGCAGCTACTCAGTTGCGCATGGCAAATTCCACCATGGAGTTTACAAAGACTTAGGGCTAGAAAAGCCACACTATGTAATTTACTATACTGCACATAGTTTGGGGGGAGCCCATCTTCCAGAAGTATATTTAGTGTTCAACTGGAATCACAGAAGTTCCCTAGAAAGTAGAAGGACTCTTTTCCTTTGGAAATTATTTTGTAGTTTATTTAGCCATGGATGTAGGAAGTTGATATGAAATTTTTGCTCGCTGTTGTTAGGTGCCATCAAGTAGACTTTGACTCATAGTGACCATATGTACAACAGATTGAAACACTGCCCAGTCATACACCATCCTCATAGTCTTGCTATACTCGAGCCCATTTTTGCAACCACTGTGCCAATCTACCTTGTTGAGGATCTCCCCCTTTTTTGCTGATACCCCACTTTACCAAGCATGATATCCTTATCCATGGAATGGTACCTTTTGACCACATGACCAAAGTAGGTTAAACAAAATCTGGCCATTCTCACTTCTAAGGAACATTCTGGCTGCACTTCTTCCAAGACAGAGTTCATTCTTCTGGCAGTCCATGGTGTTTTCAGTATTCTTTGCCAACACCACAACTCAGAAGCATCAACTCTTCTTTAGTTTTCCTTATTCATTTTCCAGCTTTCACATGAATGTGAAGCAATTAAAAATACAATGGCTTGGATTAGGCACAATTTACTCTTCAAAGTGATATCTTTTATCTTCAACACTTTAAAGAGGTCTTTTGCAGCAAGTTTACTTTGTGCAATATGACATCTGATTTCTTGACTGCTGCTTCCATTGGTGTTGATAGTGGATCCAAGTAATATGAAACCTTTGACAACTTCAATCTTTTCTCCATTTGTCATGATGCCGCTTATTGGTCCAGTCGTGAAGACTTTTGTATTCTTTGTCTTGAGATGTGATCCATACTGCAGATTGTAATCTTTAATTCTCACCAATAAGTGCTTCAAGTCATCTTCATTTTCAGCAAGCAAGGTTGTGTCTCCTGCATTTCGCAGGTTGTTAATGAGCTTTCCTCCAATCCTGATGCCATGTTCTTTTTCATATAGTCCATCGTCTCAGATTATTTGCTCTGCATACAGATTAAATAAGTATGGTGAAAGGATATAACCCTGACACACTCCCTTCTTGATTTTAAACCATGCAATATTCCCTTGTTCTGTTTGAACAACAGCCTCCTGGTCTATGTACAGGTTCCTCACGAGTACAATCAAGTGTTCTGGAATTTCCATTCTTCTCAGTGTTATCCATAATTTGTTATGAGCCACACAGTCAAATGCCTTTGCATAGTCAATAAAACACAAGTAAACATCTTTCTGGTATTCTTTGCTTTCAGCCAAGATCCATCTATCAGCAGTGATATCTCTCATTTCGTGTCCTCTTCTGAATCCAGCTTGCATTTCTGGAAGTTCCCTGTTGATGTACTACTGTAACCATTTTTTAATTATCTTCAAAATTTTACTTGTGTGTTGTATTAATGATATTGTTCAATAATTTCCACATTCTGTGGGATCACCTTTCTGTGGAATGGGTACAAATATCGATCTCTTCCAGTCAGTTGGCCAGGTAGCTGTCTTCCAGAGTATGTGGCATAGACAAGTAAGGGCAGCGTGGCATCTGTTTGTTGAAATATCCCAGTGGATATTCTGTCAATTCATGGAGCCTTGTTTTTTGCCAGTTCCTTCAGTAAAGCTTTGACTCCTTTCTTCAATACTATTGATTCTTGATCATATGCCACCTCCTGAAATAGCTGAAAATTCAACACATTTTCATTTTCGCAGTGACTCAATAGTTTGCAGATAGAATCCTTCAGTATTGCAACTTGAAGGCTTGAATTTTTTTCTTCAGTTCTTTCAGCTTGAGGAATGCTATGTGTATTCTTCCTTTTTGGTTTTCTAACTCTGGGTCTTTGCACATTTCACTATAATAGTTGGCTTTGTCTTCTCGAGCTACTCTATGAAATCTTCTGTTCTAGCTCTTTCATGTTGTCGTTTCTTCCATTTGCTTTAGCTACTCTCCATTCAAGAGCAAGTTTCAGAATCTCTTCTGACATCCATTTTGGTCTTTTCTTCCTTTCCTGTCTTTTTAATGACCTTTTGCTTTCTTCATATATGATTTTCTTGATGTCATCCCACAACCAGTCTGGTTTTTGGTCATTGGTGTCAATCCATTAAATTTATTTTTTAGATGGTGTCTAAATTCAGGTGGGATATAATCAAGGTCATATTTCTGCTTTCATGGACTTGTTTTAATTTTCTTCAGCTTCAACTTGAACTTGCATATGAGCAATTGATGGTCTGTTCCACAGTCAGCTCCTGCCTTGTTTTGGCTGAAGATATTGAGCTTTTCCAGTGCCTTTTTCCACAAATGTAGTTCATCTGATTCCTGTGTATTCTAAGCAATTTTTTGCTTAGAGTTCTGTAATTTAAATATATGATATACTTAGCATTTTGGGTATTATTTCTTATGGATATAGAGCTATCAAGACAAAATAATTAGTAGTACACATCTTAGGCCCCCCTTGAGGATTCATGGCTTCCTCAAGGATGAACAATGGTTTCACATATATGACACCCTCTGCCCCTTTCTCTGCTACCCTAATTAAACACTCTTTCCTCTACTCCTTTGATGAATTTACTTGCCATTCCCATGTTTTGGAGATTGAGAAATATGAAAAACCTCATGTGGTTTAACTTCCCCCAAACAACATCATGGTAATTGGGCAGCTATGAAATGTGACTGCTTCCAGAATAAAAAAAAAATAATAATAATAATTAAATTAACTTTTCATTTAAAAATAATTTTATACTTATAGAAGTTCAAAAAATTGTTAAAAATATTTCCATATACTCTTCTACTTTCCCCAAATGTTAAGATCTTATATTGCCACAATACAATGATCAAAACTAGGCAATTAATATTGATTCAACACTAATTACTAATCTACAGACCTTATTCACATTTTGTCTAGTGTTCCACATATGTCCTTTTCTGGTCCAGGATCCAGTCCATGTCACACATTACATATAGTTTTCATGTGTTCTTAGTCTCCTCCAATCTAGATGGTTTTTCAGCTTTGGTGGCATAGTGCTAAGGCATTTGACTGCTAACCAGAAGGCTGGCAGTTCAAACACACCATCCACTCCTTGGAAGGAAGATTGGGCAATCTACTTCTGTAGTGATACTGCCTCGGAAACCCAAGGAAGGGTCTCTATGTCACTATGAGTCAGAGTTAGTTTTTTGATGGCAGTGAGTTTTTTTTTTTTTTTTGGTTTGTCACTTTTCAAGTGGATTGACAAGATATTTTGTATAATGTCCCTCATTTTGTGTTTTCTTGATATTTATGAACAAATCAATTCAGATGGCCAAAATGCCATCAGAGGGATATGTGACTTCTCAGTGCATCATATCAGGAGGCTCATGATGTCCCTGTGTATCTACTTCTACTGTTTTATGTTTTTGAAGGTTGTGAACTGAAAGCATGGTAGGGTAAAGTGAAAGAGAAAGGGAAGAAATCTCTAAAGTTTTTGCTTGAAATTCTGAAATTTAAATAAAGCATATTGGTGTTTTGATCTCTTGGATACATTCATTACATTCTAATCACAGGAAAGCAGCATTGGCTGGACCACTGTAACAGGGTATAGATATTTATAGAATTTCAAGACAGTTTTGGGCTTAAGTTATTGGAGAATGGCTAACTACAAAACATAACAGATATATGGAGAGAAAAGTAGTCCTTCCATAAGGTAATATTAAGTAGATAAAACTAGCTCTTTGATTATTAAGGATTTTTAGGCACTAATTTAGTTGTTAGACACACAGCTTCTATTGCTTATTAATCCTCAACATTTTGCAGGTTTGAAAAATGTCTATGACGCTGTCCGTAAACTCAAAGAAAATTACATTGCTGCAGAAGAACTTCGGTCCATTTTGCCTTCAGTAGGAATTACTTTATCAGATAAAGAGTTCCAGAAGATTGTGACAGACATTTCCAGAAATGGTGGGACATATAATAGCAAAAATTTTAAGAAAGTTGAATATTTTTATGGGGTAATATTAAATATTGATGTGAGTTCTGTCTACTTGGAACTGGACAGAATGGGTCACTCTTTTGTTTTTATACTTCCAATTGGGCTTTAGGTTTTCACCTAAAATTAATTTAGATTAAATTAATTTCTCATTCAATAGTTTCTACATAAGAGTCTTCTATCTCATTAGTTGCATTCCCCATAATGTGTTGGCACTTTCCCCATTTCCACCCGTGGTTCTCCATTTCTTTTTATCCAGATTTTCTACCTCTTCCTTCCTTCTCATCTTTGCTTTTGGGAAAATGTTCTTTTGATCTCATATTATTGATTGTTGTAAGGAACACGTTCCTCTCGGGTGTTATTCTTTCTTTTATGGGCCTGTCTGTTGTTTGGCTGAACGATGGTTTCCAGGAATGGCTTCAGTTTCAAGTCAGAATGATATTTTAGGGCTTTAGGCTTGGAGTTCCTGCAATCTCCATCAGATAAATAACTGTGGTCCTTTTTTCTCTTTTCTTTCTTTCTTTTTTTACTATTCAGAGATTTAGTATTATTATTATTATTAGTTTTATTTTTTATTGTGATTTGGGTGAAAGTTTACAGAGCAAACTCACTTTCCACACAACAGCTCACATACACTTTGTCTCATGACACTGACTACGATTTACCACAATGCAACAGCTCCCCTCCCACTTCCTCCCCATAGTTACCTCTTCCCTGTGTCCTTCCCTCCCAGGCACTCCTGCCCCCTGGGGCGTCTCCTTGTGCATACACAGCCTTTCTGTTCTCCCATGATTGATATCTCCAAGGAGTGTATCTGCTTTTGTAAGTGTTCAGTTCGTATGTTTGTCTTTTGTTTGGCTGGATGCCACAGGACTGGGTTCAGTTACAGACCTAAAGAACAGCTAGGGGCCATAGTCTCAGTGGTTCCATTAGGCTCTATCAGACCAGTAAACCTCGTCTTTTTTTTTTTTTAATGATTTTGAGTTTTTGTTCCACATTGTTCTCCCACTCTATCCAGGATCTCCTACAGAGATCCCTCTCCCAGTGGTTGACAGTGGTAGCCAGGTACCATCTAGTTCTTCTGGTCATATAGTCATATAGGCTGAGGATCACATGGTGTACCAGTTGCTTAGACTAATTGTTTCTGTGTGTCTTTGGTTTTCTTCCTTCTTCTTTGCTCTGGATTAGGAGAGACCCATTGTTGCATCTAGATGGCCACTTGCAAGCTTTTAAGATCCCAGTCACTACTCGTCAAAGTAGGATGTGGAACAATGTTTTTGTGTAGTATGTTATGCCAATTGAGCTTGACGTCCCCTGCAACTATGGTCCCGAGCACATAGTTCCAACTACTTGCTCCCTCAGGGTAGCTGGCTGTGGCCAAGAAGTAGCTACAACCTTGCCCCTTGTCAGCTCTACTATATACCCGGGAATTCTCACAGAACATACAAATACACTTGTAGAAATATTGTCCTACAGTGTCTGCCAACCCTATACATGGTCTTGAGCACACTCCCTCCCGCATGGACATACCTAATAATTCAGCCTGTCTACCCATCTATCCACCCATATGTCAACGCTTGCCTTCACTGACAATGCTGTACTATATGTGCAAAAGTGTTCATCTTTGCTGAAGTGTGATCTTTTTTGTGAATTTGATTTTTCTACATTTTTCTCTTGCTCTGTGTTAGACTCTTGTGATTCCAGAATGGGTTTCAGAAAGAATAGATAAAAAAAATGGAAAGTAGTAAAACTAGAAAGTCTAACCTAGTGGGTTGGTTTGGAGAAGCTATGGCTTTCACATTTCAGAATTGTTTCGGTAAGGCTGTTCATCACTAGCCCTGTGTCTTCCAGGGTGGGACAGACCCTGGGAAAGGCCAATCCAACTGTAGAGAGATTCAGACAGAAGGACCATAATATTCAAGAAGTATAAAAATCTCTAAGCAGATAGCCCAGGGATCCAAGAAAAAATTATTGGAGATTCCAAAACCTAGTAGAATTTAGGGCTAGTGACAAACAATTCAAGTAAGCACTTAGCATCTAGAGATTTAATGGCATATTACAGTCACCACCTTAAGTTAAAGGGAGAGTTTAAGTTTAGTTTTTATATTAGGGAGAAGTTGTTTTATCATTAACTAAGAATTGTCCACAGCAGGCAATCGTCTCAGTTGAGGGGAGAGAAGAGGCAAAATTTTGGGGAAGACTGACTTAAGATAATGTTAGAAGTGAATTTTCAAAACCTAAGTACAACTTCTTAGCTAAGGGAAAGAAGATTTTTTGATTAAAAGAAATAGCTAAGGAGTGAATACTACTATAACTATTGAGCTTTTTTTTTGGCTTCTTAGCAGGATTGGTATGAGCACTGTAGAGGGTTTATATCTAAAAATAGGTAGTTAAGTGGACCAGCTGGGAACTAGGGGTCGAGATGGTGTTACTGGGAACTGTCAAGATAGTTAGTATTGTCAAGGTATCATAAGTGATAGCATATTGACTGAGTTTTCATAATGATGTAATATAAATAGACTCCTTAATTTTCCTATGGTTACCTTTCCTCTTTCTGATCGATCAAGAATTTTGTACTTAACTCAAATATTTGCATATAATAGGTATTGAAAAGGTGGGGACCATGTCTTACTTATTTTTGTATCTTGGTGCCTAGCATAGTTCTTGGCATTATTATGCCCTTAATATTTGTGAAATAAAATGAACTGAACTAATGGACAAAGATTCATCTTAGGATGTAGGATGTGAATCAGAAATAGGATGATGATGAATTGGAAGGATCAAAGTATTTTTTACTAGCTGTATTAAAACATGAACTTACTTTTTATGCAAAAATACATATGACCTATACTATTTTACAGAAAATGAAATGGTGAAGTTAGATGACTTTATAAGTGCTCTCACCAAGGAGCGAAGTTCTCCCAAGTGTGCTGGTAGGTATGAAATTTATTTTAAAATGATTTATGGAAAAACCCCTTAGGTTGAGAAGAGCTAAGTTCAATAGAACTGGGTTTGCTTTTGGATAGATTCTTTTAGTATATGTGCTGCCAAAGCGAGCACTGGATAGATTCTTAATAGCCCCATGATCCTTAGGCAAACTGTTTAGTAATTTTTTTCTTAACTTGCTGTATCAAATAGCTAACTTCCCTACCTCATAGATTGTCATGTGGATTTTACAAGCTGCAAAGTGCTGCACAAATGTACAGTAATGTTAATGATGATAATAAGATCAAATAGATAATTATTCCCAGTGATTAGTAACTGATGGATGATTTGATTTTTTTATAAAGAGCTTGTTTGAATAAAACATGAGTTTTGTTTCATCTTTGGTTTAGAACATTTTTAAAACAGTGTTATTGAGGTTTAATTTAATTTGCATACATAAAGGTAAAACTGAAACAGTTCAAATGTCCGTTAACTGGTGGGCTATCAACCAAATGGAGTATATCCATACAATATAATACTATTTAGCAATACAAAGACATGAACACACTACAACATGAAAAATATTACACCATAAATTCACCTAAAAACTGTGCAAAGTGAAGGAAGCTAGGCACAAAACACTACTTATTATATGATTCCATTTATAGTCAGTGTGCAGAAAGGGCAAATTTATAGAGACTGAAAGCACATCAGTGGTTGGCTAGGGATGAAATTGGAGATTAACAGTCAATGGGCATGAGGGAATTTGGAGAGTGACAGAAATGTTATAAAGTTAGATTGTGATGATGGTTACATACTCCATAATTTACTAACAATCAGTGACTGGATTAGTTTTATGTATGTAAATGATACCTTAATAAAACTGTTTCTGCTACAGAGAAATGGATTACTAGAGAATTTTTAGTTGTTGGGGTATTGAATGGAGAAATTTAAATTTTTCTATGTATATTCAGTGCACTTAAATTGATGCTTCCTTAGCTGCAGAGACTATGATAAAGTCATGTGCTATATTTTTGAGTCTTAATTTTGAAATATATTTATTTTCACTATTATTGAAGATTCTGCCTGTACTTTTAGTATATTACATTTCTGAAGTGATCTATATTTTTGCCAATTTAGTGTTAGAACTAAAATTCATCTTATTTATTACTGACATTTTCCTTTGAATTTCCATTTTAAATACTTGTTGACATATTGCTTTATTTTTAGTGTTGTCGGATGTCATTAAAGCCATTGATAAAATTAAAGATAACAGTGTTGATTATGAGGATCTGAGTACTTGCCTTCAAAATTTTGGAGTTTATCTTTCTAAGCCAGAATTTGAGAAGATCAAAGACTTGACTGAAGTTGATGGTAAGTGTGGTACATTTTCAGGCAAATTAGATTGACACATCTGAAAGGAGGGTCAGTTGGAATTATTTTCCTCAGAATAATGATGTAATTTTTTACTAGAAAATACTCTATATAAGTTAAACCAATACTGAAAAGTTCAAAAAATACTCTAAAGTATGGAAAAAATTCATTCAAAATCATAATATATAGAAATAACCAATATTAATAGTCTTTTCAGACATATTTCCTTAAGCAAAGATGCAAATAAAAAGAAAGCAGGATTTTTGATCTTGTTGTTTGACAGATAAAAATCAAGTCAGAAAACATTAATCGGACAAAGGATCCTTTATTATATCAAATCACACAAGCCCTAATGAAGGGCTTGTAGCATCCTGTAAAGCTTTTGTACTCCATGGCTCAGAAATTCCTCTCTTACTTATAAATCCCAGAATATCTCTTGCACTTACATACCAGGAGACATGCTCGAGAATGTTAATGACAGACTGATTTTAATAGCAAAAACAAAAATAAATAAATAAAAACAGAAACTCCCAAAAGTTCAGCAACAGAATGTATAAATTGTGGTGTATTCATGTAACAAAAAACTATACAATAGTAAAAATGAACTGTAGTTGTATATGAAAGTAAGGATGTGTCTTAGAAATATAATATTTCTAAAGGAAATAAAGGAAGTCTTAGCTTATGTATAGTATGATACCAATTTCTATAAAGCTCAAAAATAAGAGAATTACAGAATTCTGTTTGAGATTATATATATATAAAGCAAGAGCTTGTAAATTAAAAAAAATATTTGGTAATGTTCTCTTTGTGGGGGAAGAAGGAGAATGAAGTGGGAAGGGGCAGATACAATGCTATTGGTAATGTTTTTCTGTTGGGTGGTGGGTTCACATTTGTATATTTTATTGTCATGTTTCATAATTCATGTTTGTTAAAAATCTTATGTATCAAATATATGTTATAAAAATTAAGGGAATCATTTATTTATTACTTTAGAAAGTTACATATTCCCATGAGGGAATATTAAATTTTCATTAATGTTAAAATTTTCCAGACATTTTCAAGGTCATTTATTTTGATGCCTCCAAAAATTTGGCTATGAGCACAAAGTAATTTGGTGGTCCTTGAAGTAAACTGCTCAAAGGAATATTTCAGTCTCTACTGGGAATAGGTTATGCTTTATCTTTTACAATTGCTTGAGATTTTTTTTCTCAGTGGGATAAACAAAAGACTAGGGTTATCAAAGCTCATCTTATCTGTGGAAAGCCTTTGTGTGGCCTTACAAAATTCTTAGTATTTTCTTAATCCATTCTATCATTGGGATATTATGAGGCATTATATATTACAAAGGGAAGATATTGTTGAAGTATCACATGGCTATTAAAAGGTTTATTCATTTCACTAGTATACTGGGGTAGACATCCCAGTGTGAGACTAAGTAGCCTGATGTAAAAGAAAATAGGAGTCAGGAGAGCTTGCTTATCATCTCTGTCTTGCATTGCCTCTGTGACCTTGCAACAAAGTCACATTATCATAGAAATTATTATTAATTTGTAAAAGAGCATATGTACTTCACCTACATATCCTACTGAGTTGTTGTAAGGCCAAGGCAAGATAATGTACGTTAAAAGTTAAGAAAGTTGTGGAAGAGAACATAATGATTTTGATCAGTTTTCTTGTTTTTCAGTGTTTACTTTTTGCCCATAAGTAGAATTGCATTTTTCCTTTACATCTATTATTTGTATTGACCAGTATTAGTTGGTGGCTATAATTATGCTAGTTCTATATTCCTGAATATATAACTTATTTTTACATAAATCAGTATTGGTCATAATAATTTAATACTTAATGATACTGAAGAAAATGTGTTTCTCCCTTAGAAATGAAAAAAGTGAATTTTAAAGAGTTTGTTGATAATATGATGAAGAACACGGAACGCTTCTCTGAAAAATTATGTAAGAACATCATGTGTTGTGCTTTATGTGGATCAAACTGTTTGACAGGCTTTAGAAGAGTGAAGATACTACAAGAGCTAGATAGATAACCTTATAGGTCATCAGTCAAATAAATGCCTGGGTTACTGCTGCTATGTTTGGCCTTAATCATGTCCATTGAAAAAAAACACTGCTGTCTAGTTGGTTCTGACTCATAGTCACCCCTCCTTGGGTTTCTGAGGTGGTTCTCTACGGAAGTAGATTGCCCAGTCTTCCTTCTGAGGAGTGGTTTTGAACCACCAGCCTTCTGGTTAGCAGTCAAATACCTTAGGCACTACGCCATCAGGGCTCCATTATCTACCCCTAATTCAACAACAACTTTTATGTGCACGGAAATTGAAAGCCGGTGTCATCTTTCTTTTCATCCTCACACTTTATTATAGAGAGCTAGAACCAAGTATATGAGATTCATTTTTCGGAGGAGTTAAAATGTCTTCCCATTTTGAGAAAGTAATGCCATCTAGTGGCTATAGTTGAACACCAACATGCAGAATTTCTGGTTTCAGCTGTTTGCATTTCTTTCCCTCTTCCAATTTATTCAGTAACATTTATTGAGCCAGTACTATGTACCAGGCTTTATGTTAAGCTGTGAATGTGCTAAGATGAAAAAGACAGGCGTTGCCACTAAGAAGCTCACTGTAAAGAAATATAAGGTCATATGTATATTTAAAATAGAACAAAAACGTGATACTTTATTGGGTGAAGTTAGTACCTTAGAAATTGGGGTTAAAAATAATCATTGTGTTATTTTGTGCTTACATGTTGGACAATAGTGGATTTTAAGTAACAAACAATTATTTTTACCTTACAATTTAAATTTAAATCAGCTTAATTTGTCTTCTCAAGGGAGGGTATACAATAGATAAATTGAGTGAAAAGACTATTTGTGTTGTCAAAGTCACTTAATTTTTCCTAGAAATTTCAATTCCATGGAAATCAAAATTTTATTAGCACAGAGCTATATAATATATTATCTTATTGATATCTGTAGTTATATTTTCTTTCACGTTCTTACTATTTTATACTTATATTTACTTCCTTTCCTTTTTCTTTATCAGGCTGCTCAGGAACATGGCTTATTTATGGGTTCTATATGCCTCATTGGGACCTTCCATCCATTTGCCTATTTATTTTCTCCTTATCCATCAGTCTCCTCCTGTTTTTACTTTTCCTCCTTATCCAGTTTAAATTCTCTGATCTATCTCTCCCCAATACTGCAAACTCCCCTGCCCCTATGTCCTTTTGTTGCATCTATCTGGCCAGACTTCTAATCCAGAATGAATCCAGTTATCTGCCTTCTGCTTGTGGCTAACAGCATTTCTGGAGAAAAATCACACAGCTAATTAGGCTGAGAAAGTAGCACTATAAAAAAAATCTTGATCAATGTCTGCTAACTCTCAATATGAAAAACCAAAACCAAACCCACTGCTGTCAAGTTGATTCGGAATCATAAACCATGTAGGACAGAGTAGAACTGCCGCATAGGGTTTCTAAGGCTGTAAATCTATGAAAACAGACTGCCGTATCTTTTTCCCACAGAGTACCTGGTAATTTCGGACCACTGACCTTTCGGTGAGCAACCAAGCACTTTAACCACTGTGCCACTAGGGCTCTTCTGACCCTAAATTAAAAAAAAAAAAAAAAAGCCAACTCATTGACCCTAAATACTACCCAGTAATCCTGTGACTGTCCGTTATGAAGCTAGCTCATTTTCCCACTCTCTCAAACAAGTATTTGAAAATCTTCTCCATTCCCCTCAAACATCCATTGCTGCCTTACACTCTACCCCTCGATCATTTAGAAGATAACTTTGCCTTTTTAGAGAAAGCAGAAGCTATCCGATAGGAACTACCACAAGATTTTTTTTTTTTAATGCTAAGTTTATAAATATATTTAAATCTATCTCATTTCCTTCTCCTCCTCTTTTGGCATAATGGAAGACCTCCCTTTTCCTACTATATGCCAGTTCTTCAATTCTCTGCTCTGGATTGCATCTCATTGCAGCAAAAATAGCAAAGTTAAAAAAAACCAACAAAACAACGAATGCTGGCCGGGCTGTGGAGAGATTGGAGCTCTCTTACACTGATGGTGGCAGTGTAAAATTATATAACCATTGTGGAAAATGGGTATGGCACATCCTTCAAAAGCTGGAAATAGAAATACTGTGTGATCCAGCAATCTCACTGCTAGGTGTATATCCTAGAGAAATAAGAGTCATGACATGAACATACATATGCACATCCATGTTCATCACAGCATTATTCACAATATCAAAAAGACAGAAACAACTTAAGTGCCCATAAACAAATGACTGGATAAAAAAACCATGGGACATACACACAATGTTGAAGAGTAGTGAGGACTCAGTGAAACACCTTGTAACTTAGATGAACCTGGAGGACGTTATGCTGAGTGATATAAGTCAATCACAAAAGGACAAATATTGTATGAGACCACTATTATAGAAAGTCAAGAAAGGGTTTATACACAGAAAAAACATTCTTTAATTGTCACTAGGGATGGGAGGGGAAGGGAGTGTAAATCACTAATTGGAGAGTAGACGTGCATTAACTTGGGTAAAGGGAAAGGCAATATACAATAAGGGGGAAGGCAGCACATGACCAAGACAAAGGAAGACAGTAAGAGGTACACGAGAGTAAAAGATAACAAAGGTAAATACTATTATGTACACAATCCTGCAGTAATAATAACAATATCTACAAGTAGATACATAGGTAGACATGCAAGCTGAGCAGATGTGGGGAGATGAATATGAGTATATATATGTTCGGCAGAGAACATTTTTATGTGTGTATTTGTATGTGCTGCAAGTATGTCCAAGGATATAGTAGAGCATAAAGGGGACAAAGTTCTGAAAACTTCTTAGCCATAATCAGACACCTTGAGTGCATGAGTCACTGGGCTCGGGGACTTAGAACTACTACTGCCTCACTGGACGTCTAGATCAATTGGCATAACACAGTCCACAAGGAAAGTGTTCTGCATCTTATGGTGAGTAGCACCTGGGGTCTTAAAAGCTTGCGAGTGGCCATCTGGATGTAACTGTTGGTTTGTTCCCATCTGGAGGGAAAAAGAATGAAGAAAATCAAAGATGTGAGGAAATAATTACTCCAAAGGACTAATGGACCAATGGACTAATGGACAGTGTTCACTGCCCTGAGACGAGAAGAACTAGATTGTGTGTAGCTACCATGACCAAATACTCTGATCAGGATCACAATAGAAGTTCCTGGTCATAGGGGAAGAAAAAAATATGTAGAAAAAAGTTCAAAATCATAAAGAAAGACCAGACTTACTATCTCATAGAGACTGGTGGAACCCCTGTGACTGTGGGATCAACTTTTCAGCGAAACAACAGAGAAGCATATGAAGTGTAGGGAGGACCATGCTCCTCACTACAATCAGCCGTATGAGACAAAAATGGAAGGATTTGCCCCAAAACACAGCTCAGGAAGCAGGAAGGGGCAGGAAAGAAGGACAAATGGAAATGGGGAACACAAAGAGGAAGTAGGAATACTGATACATTGTGGAAATTGGAGTTAATGTCACAAAACAAGATGTGCAGAAACTGTTGAATGGAAAACTAATTTGCTCTGTAAACTTTCAGCCAAATTGTCAAAGATAGAAGGTAGGAGCAGATCATGGGTATTTTAAGTGTCTGGCTAAGGATTTTATATGTTACTTGGTAGATATGAAATCCTTAAAATTAATAAGTAGGGTAGTGAGATGATTTGAGTTGCATTGGTACATGAGATGCACGAGATGGAGGAAGAATCTAGGATTTCTTACTAACTATTACTCTGGATAAACCACTTAATCTATTTGGATGTAAGTAATCATTATCTACATAATGATGACTTTGTATTAGATAATATCTAAGATTCTCTTTGGGCTTAGAATTTTATTTAACCATTCACTCATCCAGTAAATAATTATCAAGTACATACTTTGTGCTAGACACTGAGCTAAGCCCAGGGGACACAGTGGTGAGCAAAGCATATGGTTTTTTTTTTTTTTTAGGATTTGGGTGAAGATTTACAGAGTAAATTCACTTTTCATACAGCAGTTCACATATACTTTGTCTCATGTCATTGACCAAAATTTACAATGCAGCAGCTCCCCTCCCACTTCCTCCCCATAGTTACCTCCTCCCAGTGTCCATCCCTTCATACTCTTCTGCACCCTGAGCTATCTCCCTGTGCATAAGCAGCCCTTCCTTCTCCCATGATTGTTCTCTCCAGGGCGTGTGTCTACTTGAGGTAAATGTTTAACTCACATGCCTGTACTTTGTTTGGCTGGAAACCACAGGTGTGGGTTCAATTCCAGACCTGAAGGGCAGCTAGGGGCCATAGTCTCAGTGGTTACACCAGGCTCTATTGGACTAGCAAACCTGGTCCCCACTTTCTTTCTTTTTTTTTTTTTTTTGCCTCCAAATGATTTTGAGTTTTGTTCCACATTGTTCTCCCTCTTTATGCAGGATCTCCTACATCCCTTCCAAGTGGATGGCAGTGGTAGCTGGGCACCATCTAGTTCTTCTGGTCTCATGGTTGTATAGGTTGCAGATCGGATGGTGTACCAGTCGCTAGGACTGATTGTTTCCATTAATTTTGGTTTTCTTCTTTCTTCTTGATGAGGAGAGACCCGTTGTTGCATCTAGATGGCAGCTTCCTAGCTTTTAAGGTCCCAGTCGCTACTCGCCAAAGTAGTAGGTGGAACAATGTTTTGTATAGTATGTTATGCCAATTGAGCTTGATGTCCCCTGTGACCATGGTCCCAAGCCCGCAGGACCAACTACTCGGTCCCTCTGGGTAGCTGGCTGTGACCAAGCAATGACCATAACCTTGCCCCTTGTCAGCTCTACTATACACCTGGGAATTCTGATCATTCACATGAACTTATAGGCCCATTGTCTGCCAACCCTATATATGATCTTGGATACA